GTGAGTGAGCGAATGAATGAATGGTTGACTTGTGAGTAAGTGTTTATACAAAATAAAATAGAATTTATTTGATGCTGTTGTGTGAGAAGAATTTAAATTTGACTCGTTAAAGCATATATGCAAGCAAACAAGCTTACCTATACATATATACAAATAAATATATATACATAGATATATATATAAATATATGTAATAAAAATGTACATTTACTTTTGCATTCGTAGAAAACAGCAAGAGGGTGAAGAATATTTTTTATGTTTGTATTTGATGATGACTATAAAAAAAACACAGGAAATATGTATAAACAAAATTAAAAAAAAAAAAAAAAAAAAAAAAATAGAAATTAAACAAAGTAAAAAGTAAAAAATAAAAATAGAAAGAAAATCAAAATCAAAATCTAGTACAAGTTGTGCTTAATAGTTGTGGCTATGTGTGCATATACACATATACATATAGAAAAAAAAAAAGAAAAAAAATGTATATATATATATATATATATATATATATATATATACATGTTTGTGTGTTTATTGCAAGCAATCTCTTTCAATAAAAATTAGCTAAAAGCTTTCTCACGTGCTCTATATGTGTGTAGCGCATTCGTATACTGGTTTTAATACTAAAACTAAGCAGCAGTAACAACGACAACATCAGCACCAATGAAAGGAGCAAACACGTTGATGCCAATGGTATAGTAGCGGTGTTAGGCAAGTTGCGGTGGCGTGCGATTGAAGTGCAAGTCATTACATTTTATGCTAGTACTTAAAAATTAAAAAGAACACAGCCCGAGAAATGCAAGAAAAAAAAAAATAAATAAAAAGAAAAAAAAAAGAAAAGAAATACAAGAGGTATAGCAATGACGGTAAAGTCAGTTTGCATTTGTACATAGACGCGCACACACACACACACACACACACACACACACACACACACACACACACACTAACACACCCACATACACACATACATACACTTGCTGCAGTTATAACTGAAAGTTTAATGCAAAAATTGACTTTTCCACTAAATATAAAATTCATTATACCATTATTTTGCCATATAGATGCACATGTATATGTTAGAAGACTTTGCATTATTTGTTCATATGCATGCTGTACAGAAAACAAACGAAGAAGCGAAGGGAGTTACAGACGACTAGCGTTCGTTAAGCAAATGAATATAAGAGTGAAAAAGAACAAATTTTTTCGAGTTTTTTGTTTTTTGTGCATATAAACTTATTTACTTCCTTTTTGATTATTTTCGGTAGAAAAAGAAGAGAAAAAAGATTGTATTTTTTTTTTTTTTTTGTAATTTTCATTTTTTATTTAATGTTACTGAGCCTTTTTAACGCTTAACAAGTAGCAAGGAGTTGCCTGCATAAGTGTATGAATGTAATGTGAATGAGTGTGTGATATGAGGACAATCACCCTTCGCATAATTACCAAAACATTTTCTCTACTACTACTGTATACTGCTAAGAACGTTAAGGAAAGCAAGACGATAAAGAAATTGTCTCTATGCTGCATTCGGTATTCATTGTGTGTGCGCGTGCATATGTGCTGTGGGTGTTTATGTACATTTTTGCGTTTCTTTTAACAGTCACATACGTTTGTGTATCCTGCTAGTCGAAAATGAAGTCTACTAAAGTTGCTACCAAGCGTACGAGCACAATACAATCGCAGTGTGTCGTATAAGCAGCATTAATATATTGTAGGCAGTCATTTGCTTTAACAACAGATAAATATTGCATGTCGAGTGTCGTATGCTTATACCATATATATATATATATAAGTCAGGTTACGTGTGTGTTTATTATAATAAACCAACAATAAGTGTCTACTTTTTTTTCCCCTTATCATCTAACTCTTTTACTCTCTTCGCAGCGTTTTATGTCCCTTAAGTCAAGTCAACCAACTGCTCATACCCGGCAATAGACTTTTGCTTTATGGCCAACAAAGAAATCATGACTCTGCATATATGCATATATATACGCGTACATACACAATTACATCGTTGTTCTTGCTGTTGTTGCATGAACAACAAATGCATGAGTCAAAATGCTAAGTTTCTATTTCAACATAAAATTTTTTCATTTTTTTTTTCTGTTTTTTTTTTTCTTTTTTTTTTTTTTTCTCTCTTAAGCAAAGACAACTTTAATTGTGAAACCTAGAAAAATAAATGAATGAATGAAACAAATACGGCCTGAAACGAGTAAAGCAAAAAAAAAAAAAAAAAAAAATAATAATAATAATAATAATAATAAAAACGAGACAAAGCAACTAAAACCTTTATCATGGAAGGAAAACCAGAAAACATTTACTCTCAAGCTTTTCCAATTGTAAACTGAACGACTGACTTAGTCATTTGCTTTAGTACTTTGCTTGACTGCCCATCTTCCTTTTTTTTTCTTTTTTTTTTTTTTTTTTTTTTATTTTATTTATAACATACATGCATGCATGTCTCCGTAAGCACGCTCCAGCCCATCGCCTATGTTTATTTAATAGTGACAAATACTACAATGACTTATGAAATATAAATAAACTGTATGTTGTTTGCTTTGTTCTGTGTTTTGTTACAAATTAACAAACTACGCACACCTTTTCTTTGTATTATTCTCATTGTTCGTCTGATTGTTACTGTTAATGTTTTAAGTACTACAAGTCAAGTGTTAAAGGTGGTTGTGTATTACGATTATATGCATGTGTGTATGTAGATGATGTTAAAGATGGGAGGAGGGGAGGGGAGGGGAGGGGGGGGGGGGCATTACTTCAATACACGCATTATTGCCATATACATTAAAACATTTTATAGATATATCTGTGTGTGTATGTGTGTGTGTGTGTGTAAGTAGAGTTTCTCATTTCTCCTTCACTTAAGGTACACTTTGAAATGCTGATCCATGCATGCGGAATCATTAATAATTAAAGATGCACACATACACACACACACAATTTTATTGCTATTGTTATTGCGTTTTTATCTACCTGTCTGTCTGCTACATATATATGTGTGGCCACAACATTTGTTTGCACATTCAATTTCACAATCATGCCTGTCCATATGTTTTTAGTCCATTCCTATCATTCATATTTAATGTCATTACGGTGAATGTTACGTCTGAATATCAATCAAGATGATCATAAATTTCATGATTGCTTCGTTTTCCCACACATACAAGATATATAACCAAACACTCAGAAGTCAAAAGGAATATAAACGTTCTTTTTAGTTTTTATATGAAAAATATCACAACATGCTTTAGCCACTAGCAGGTAAGTATATTACTTTTTACTAACGAAGGAGGACCGTTTTTGAGTTGAGTGATAAAATACAATAAAAGATTAGCTAGCTAGGACTTAAACTAACTTCAATTTTTCAAGCCCTCATAGGCTTTTACTAAAAAATACCCAAATTATTATATACTTATATAGTTTTCGAGATGGCCTTGACAACTACCCGTTCAAAATGACTGTAATTGCGTTGAGTGTTCATCAAAAACACAAATATATTCTCTAACTTTTTTGGACTAGTGCTGCCATCTGCGTGTTCAGCTTAGTAACCTTTCAGGAACCGCAGCTACATAAGATGGATCTGAAGGTCTAGAAAATGAATTTTATATGGCATAGCGTAACCGGACCGGGACACAGACTGTGTTTATGAAACAAGAATTTCTATAGGATTTATCATTGATCGGTTAGGAAGACAATGAATGATTTAAACTTACTCCGTAGTAATGTCAATTTTTAATTTGATCTTAAGCACGGATTTTTCGGAATTTTTTATTTGCATATGCGTCAGATAACCTTCGGTATGCTTCGATAATTTAAGACCTTAATCTCTCCGGATAAGTTTATTCCCTTTACAAAATTTTCTGTTCTTTTTGGTTATTCGTAGATCAGCACGAGGCTTATCTTACGATCGCTCCTACTTCTCTAAGATTTTTTAGTAAAAGAAAATAAAGCGCAATTCTACATTGTTTTGCTCCGATTAATCAATTTAAGTTAAACATAGTTTTTAATTTCTTTCAAAATTTCATCGGGCAACCTAAACTTAGATCAACTTGCTGAAAAGAGAGCTTTGCAATGGTTTCATAATTTATGTCATACTCTAGATAATGCTTTTATTTATTCGAATCTACATTTATTTACGAGTCTTCTCTTATACTCCGTAGTAAGTAATTGCGTTTATCGCATAAAAATAAGCAATAAATATAATTTATATGCTCTCCTAAAAGTAGGCAATACTTTTTTCTAATACATTTTGCGATTCTAATTAAACTAAATGAAAACCTTTTATTGGGTTATATACATTAACCGAATCTTTTTAAAATGTAATATCGTCTAACAGTAATATTTGATAAGTCAAAAAACTTTATAAGGGCCTATAAAAAAAAAAAAAAGATTCTATTTAACTTTTGCATTATTTTGCATAAAACGTAGAGATAACCTGAGACTGAGTATTTGAGAGATACTTTTGTAAATTCATTGTTGTTGTTTTTGCACAAATTATTAACGAAAACAAAAACAACCGTAACAGTAACAGGAACAAAGCAACGACAATGACAAAATATCTTTAGGGAAATCACAGACACATACTTGACTCTTTACATATGCAATATGAATATTTTTATGCATTTCTATTGCATATTGATTTGCTAGGGTGACTTAAATTACTAACACTTACTAACTTGTACTTAATGGGGTATAGAAAGACAAAGAGTAAGAGAGTTTAATTTATGCATAAAGTTCAACATACTACAATATGTGAATTTATCTATCTTCTACGCGTGTATATATATATATATATATAGAACATGGCAACTAAAGCAATTCATTTTAAATACGATTCTATCGCTATTGCTACTGCAAAGCGGCAACTTTAGTTTAGTTTTCTCCTATTTTTTGCACAGAATTACTTCCAATTTCAATTAAAATTGTGTCATGTTGTGGTATTGCACTTGTATTAGTTATATTAAAAACGCGTGTTATTTTTGCTATTCTTACCTCTTCATGTTCACGTTGGAATTTTTCCTTTTTGCGCATCGCTTCTTGTACTTTTAACTGTAAATAACAATGAAAATATAAAATTAATGTAACAAATGAATATTTATTAAAAAAAAAAACAAGAAATTAAAACAGAGAGAGAAAGAGAGAGAGAGAGAGAGAGAGAGAGAGAGAGATAGAAAGAAATAGAAGCCTCGTATTGTACTTGTACTTATATTAAATGCATTTTGTCTTCCATTGCAGTATCTTTGCGGTCGCTTTTGTCATTTAAAAAGTGTTGCTCATAAAAATTTCTTGAAAACTTGATAGAATTTTCTTCTTTTTTTTCTTCTCTTCTTCGTTTTCTTTTTATTATAAATAAAAGTTTCTAAGGTAAAGTAAATATAACCGCCAAGTACGCAGCACTCGGCACACATTCAAGCCTTGTGTGCACCCACCCAAATCTAATTTATAGTTAATTAAAATAAACTTTTCTACCAAATGTCTAAAAAGACAACAAAACAATATTAAAATGAATGCAAAATGAAAACATATAAAAGGTTTTTAAGTAGAAACTTCAATAACCTATAAAGAAAGAAAAAAAAAAAAACTTAACCTACAAATGCATTTAAACTTTATAAAAAAAAAACTTAAGATAAGCGGCTTTATGTCACAGCATTCTCGAAGCAGGTGCAACATCTTATGTTTTGTAATAATTATGCGACTTATATTAAATGGTTCAAAACCGTTTGAAATATTAAGTAAATTGTTATAGTTAAAATTGCTGCTAAATCACAATAAAAGTACGACCCTATGATAATTATTTTTCTATTAACTCGGGCCGGTTCCATAGACCATTTACATCCAGTTCTCAAGTTTGAATTATTTCAGATGGGTGTCTGTTAGCGATTAAAAATTATTCATAGCACCGTCTTTTCCGGTTTCAATGCAATCGCATAGTTATGGCCTCTTATCTCTTATTTTACATCGGTAGTAAACGGTAGTTTTATGAGTAAGGAATTATCACATCTGAAGAACTTGGCCAAGTTAGTTTAGATTAATGTATTGATCAGAGACAATTCTTTAGTAACTATGAAGTAGTTAGGCGATTCTCTATGAATAGTCACCGTCTTTTAGCAATCCATAGCTAAATCCCTTCTGATAAGTAAGAATGAGCAGACATGTATTTTTTGTCCTTACAGAAACGCTATTGAAATTTTCCTAAAAAATTTGGAATGCGGGAGTAAAGGACGATAGATCAATTTAAATTTAGATTGTAGACCAGTTTAAGCTATATAGAAGAAGAAGAAGCTGAACGTATTGCAGTTTCTTATATATACAGACTGAATTTAATTTTGTATTTATGGATACATTCATAGCAAAAAAAAAAAAAAAAAAATGTATCGAAATGTCACTTACTTAGTTCCGATGACTGTAATGTTCAGGTAACCTTTGCTGTTCAAGAACATTTAACTAGAACTTATCAATTCAATCATTGTTAGTGAGAAATAAAAAAAATCAAAATCTACGAAAAGTTATTGATCGCATAGCCCTCCTCTTGGTAGAAAACGCATACATGCGCAATAATTTTTAAACCTTTACGAAATACACGGAAATCATTTATGTTGCAATTTTCTAGCATTGGAATAAAATTAGTTTTCGCTCCCTTAATTCCGATTTGAACGCTCTATATTGCGTATGTATGTGAGCGGGAAAACAACTGTAAACGATAACTTGTACGGGTTTAGAGTTATATACGTTCAACTTGTATGTTAAGTAAAGACTCTAAAAATGTTGCTTTCAAATGCTTATCTCTAAAAGTGACTAAGCGAAGAAGTAAAAAAATCAAGTTTATTTTCCAAGCTATTTGCAAAATAACTTACATTGCAAATAAGTTTATGTTAATACGTCGTTGTTGCAAAGGAAACCATTTCTGCCTTTCAGGCGGCTTTAATAAACAAATAAGGCAATGGAATTTCTACAAATAGGTTAATTTTAAGCTTCAAGCTGCTGTAAACATGAGCGAACTCTGCAAATATGTGAGATAACCCATTACTCAATAAGTTTGCAAGATAGCTAATGAGGAAACCATATGATTTCATGGAACATTTCCCTTGAAAGTTGAAATCATAGGAAGGCTTCAATAGTGTCGATGCCGCTATGCCGATGTACGCTTCTATCATGGATTCTTCCATATAGCATTCTACGAACTTATTGAGTTGAGCGCCGTGTTCTATCCTTTTATTTCATACTTTGCGGCTTCGTATAGTATCAACAACAATGGGACAGATGGACGGACATAACTGAAAATAGATTGTCTTAGAAGATATACACCTCAGGAAGCCTGATAATAAAATATTAAGAGATTTTGTTTCATTTTAAACTTGAATTGAAATTTTGAATCTCATATTCAAATTCCCTTTGAGAGGTTACAAGCAATTTAAGAAAGCTGATATATTCAAAGACGTTACATGAAGGACCTCAAAATATTTTGTCTTCCAATTGCCACAATTCTTCAACACTTAATATAATGTAATGATATGCCATAGAGTAGTTTTGGTATTGTGGCTGTTGTTGTTGTTGTTGTTATTGTTGTTTTTGTTACTT